GCATTACTTAGCTAGTTAACCAGAACCAGCATTAATCAACTAGCTAACCAGAACCTGCATTATTCAACTAGCTAACCAGAACCAGCGTTACTTAGCTAGTTAACCAGAACCAGCTTTAATCATCTAGCTAACCAATACCTGCATTTATCATCTAGCTAACCAGAACCAGCGTTAATCAGCTAGCTAACCAGAACCTGCATTATGCAGCTATCTAACCAGATCAAGCATTAATCAACTACCTAACCAGAATCTGCATTATTTATCTAGGTAACCAGAACCTTTATTACGCAGCTAGCTAACCAGAACCAGCGTTAATCAGCTAGCTAACCAGAACCAGCATTAATTAGCTAGCTAACTAGATCAAGCATTAATCAACTAGCTAACCAGAACCAACATTACTTAGCTAGTTAACCAGAACCAGCGTTAATCAACTAGCTAACCAGAACCATCATTAATTAGCTAGTTAACCAGAACCAGCTTTAATCATCTAGCTAACCAATACCTGCATTTATCATCTAGCTAACCAGAACCAGCGTTAATCAGCTAGCTAACCAGAACCTGCATTATGCAGCTAGCTAACCAGATCAAGCATTAATCAGCTAGCTAACCAGAACCTGCATTATTTAACTAGCTAACTAGAACCAGCGTTAATTAGCTAGCTAACCAGAACCAGCATTATTCAGCTAGATAATCAGAACAATAATTAATCAGCTAGCTAACCAGAATTTGCATTATTTAGCTAGGTAACCAGAACCTTTATTACGCAGCTAGCTAACCAGAACCAGCATTAATCAGCTAGCTAACCAGAACCAGCATTACTTAGCTAGTTAACCAGAACCAGTGTTAATCAACTAGCTAACCAGAGCCAGCTTTAATCATCTAGCTAACCAATACCTGCATTTGTCATCTAGCTATCCATAATCTGCATTAATCAGCTAGCTAACCAGAACCAGCATTAATCATTAGCTGCTCTCAGGAAGTTTTGATTCATTAACTTTGGATCATAGATTTTGGTTCAAGCTGCATTTTTACTTTGAATGAATGTTTCCCTGTTTTACTGGACATTATTTGATATAATAATGTTGTGAGATTATTGGCTCATGTATAATTTATGTTACAGAGAACTTTACTGTTCATGTTGTTGAACTGGTTGCAGGTTTTTCTCTTCTTTTGACTCAGTAGCTGCTGTTTTGTGCCTGCAAGTTTGTTGCATGTTTACGTTAATTAGATGAATTTATAAGCAGATCCATTTTAATTTCGCCACATCACATAGTATCATTTTTAACTAAGATGAAAAATAATCAGCGGATCCAGGCGATCAGCAAAGATGGGCCTCATGGTGATCGGTATCGAAATCGGCAGCAATAAACCGGATCTTTTCCTCCCTACCAAAGGCCTTTCTAAAAAGTCCGTATTGACTTTTGGCTGGTATCAAAGCCAGTCGGTTCTGCTGCTGTTAATATTGATACGCACCCTGCTCCTTTCTCTGACCGTGAAATAATCCCGTTAAGCCTTTGGCTCTGGACGCCCGGCATTCCTAGAGCCGTCTGTTGGAAGAGGAACAACAGTCTTCTCTCATATGAGGATGTTACTGAAAGCATCAGATCCCTGATTAAATCCCGCTGGGAGGAAAAGCCTGGAGACAAAACTCCTTTAGTCCTTTTTGGGAACTGTTCAAATATGACAGAGGAAAATCCAGCAGATCCTTCAGCAGGAACCTTGCAGACAAGAGAAGGCAAGAGGAAGAAAGTCTTTGCTCTCAGACAGCTTCTTTATCCAGGATCAGCCATGATGACCTTCATGAGGATGACCTTTCTCTCCTTAGTGAAGGTCAAACTAAACTGGATGAAATATAGAAACAGAAGCTGGAGGCGCGTTTGTCAGGTCTGGAGCCAGATGGTTGGAGGAAGGGGAGCAGTGTTCTTCCTACTGTTTTGGTTCAGAACAATCTAAACTTCATGAGACTTTAGACTCACTTAAAGTTCATGACAAGATTGTATCAGACCATAAAACTCTTGGTTCATTTGGTTCCAGTTCCTACAACAACCTCTACTCCTCTGAAGACTCCCATGAAAAAGCTTCTTTTCTGATTGACTCCATGAAACATTGTGAAGTTGATCTGAGAACAACATGTGTGATGCTAACCTCACGCTACAGGAAGTAGAAGAGGATATTTGAAGCCTTAAAACAACCAATCAGCAGGTAGTGATGGGCTGTCAAGTAGCTTTATGAGAAATGTGTCAAAGATGTGAGTCCCTTTATTCTCAGGCTCTTTCAGAAAGTATTGATGGTGGAGAATTGCCTCCTACTTTAACACAAGGCCTTATTACTCTGATCCCAAAGGCTGGCAAAGACAAGTTACCCATTGACAACTGGAGACTATTTGCTGACTGAACAATGACTGGAAAGTTTGGATTTGGCCAGAAGAATGAAACAAACCCTCAGTTCTATTATTGATGAATCTCAATCAGGCTTCATGTCCCACAGACACAAACAACCTGAGGCTTGTGCTGGATCTACTGGACCCTTCAGAACCAATCAATGATAACAGCTTGATTTGCTTGTTGGACTTTTATAAGGCTTCTGACTCTCTAGAGGACGGCTTTACGTATGGGAGCTTAGAAACATTTGCTTTCAGGCCATATTTCATATCCAGCCTCTTCACAAGAAGGTAACTGCTGTGTTAAACTGGTTCCTGTCCCAGATTCCCAGTATCCAGAGGAGAGAGACTGGGCCGCCCAGTTTCCCCTATTTATTCCTCATGGCAGCCCAACTTCTTGCAACATTTATTCTGGGAAACAAAATGCGCCGCATCCCAGTTGCTGATGGAGAAACGTGTATCAGTCCAGTTGTTGATGACACGACTCTGTTTCTGAGAGATGCCGACCAAATTCCTGTTATCCGTCTCATCCAAACTTTCTCTGATGCTTCAGGCCTCAAACTCCATTTAAACTCATGTGAATCGCTTCCCATGTCATCCTGTCGCCAATCCATCTTTACAACATTCCTGCTGCTGAAACACAAGTTTCTCATCTTGCTGTAATTATCACAAAAGATGGCAAAGAAAGACGCCAGCTTGACCTTTGACCCTACAGCCGATGAAAGCAACAAGAAATGAAAGCAGTGGCTTCAAAGAGATTCATGTTTAAGAGGAAGAAAACTGTGATCTAAAGCTGCAGGAAGATCCAGACTAACTTGTGCTGCACTAGCATTAAATGTCCATCTCAGTAAAACTATTGATCAAATGCTCCACAGAAGACCCAAAGATGGTGTCCAATCTTTGGACAGTGCCAAAGACAGTTAGACTCTCTGCTAGATGAGGCTGCATCACATAACAAAAGGTTCAGGCTGTGGCTGCAGCAGGGATGAATGGAGCCTCTGGACATCTTTGTTGGATTAAAGCTTCAGCACCCTTGTTTATTGCCCTCATATTAGAGCCATTATGGTAACTTTGCCCTCTACAATCAGCCAAATCCAAGCCCAAACTCTCCAGTCCCCCTGTTAGTGTGAGGCCTTTCCCAGTTGTGTCCTTCACAGCAGTGAAACCCACAAAAGACTCTGCAATAGAGACTTTTTTCTTCTCATCTGTATCAATATATGGAATGATGACTGAGGCCTGCTCTTGCTTTGAAATATTCCAGTTCCACTGCAAAGTCCTTGGAGGCTTTGGTCTGGGCAGATATTTAGCCCAAACACTCTGACATTGAATCCAGCAGTTCATTCTGAGCAGCATGTCAGATATCCAGGGGTTTGTTTGGAGTTTGCAGCCTTTCTAACATGTTCTGCCAGTGTGACATCAGATCGTGCTCTGAGCTCCAGGATTCACAGAAAAGCTCCAGTTTTAGGATTTCCTAGCTGACAATTTTCCCCTTTAGTGGCAAGTTTCTCTCTGCAAGGAAGAGGATGCAGTCAATAACTGGAGCCAACACATTTCTCCAGTTGCTTTTCCAGCTGCTGGTTCTCTGCAGTTCACTATCAATAGTCTTACCGAGGCGTAAGCCACATTTCTTTCCACATCAGAGAAGCGTTTATGTGACAACTACTGGTTTCATGGGGCTTCAGTGTTTTTGAAAGACATGGCCAGTTATTATTCCCTCCACAAGCCACGTGGCAGGAACTTTAGCTTCTCCAAAGAGCTTTCATGCAAAACAATAGACTTTGTTAGTATTTCTGGAATACAGTAACCAATCTCCTTCCACTTTCTCTCCATTAGACAGTAAACCAAAACAGTAAGCTTTGGGAAAACACCTGTTACTCTCCTCTGGTCTTGGATTTGGGCCATCAGAACCATTTTCAGCCATGATGCCTAAATGTTCCCGTTTTGTGTGGTAAAGGCCATTAGATGGATCTTGTGAATAAAGCCTCGTCTCAACCCTCTCTGCAGCTCTGCTCCTCTCTCTCCATCATCTGCATAGAAACATTTCAAGATCAACATTTTTCTTCTCTTTCCTTTCTAAATGGGTTACATGTATTTGTAAAAATGATTGTTGGAGAATAATTGATCAAAAATAAATGCTGCATCCTGTAAGATATTAAAATGTATTTACCTAAACAGATATTATTGTCCTCAGCTTTATTTGAGCACAAAAACATGCACTAGCAGTGACATTGTAGGAACACGACTGATGATGATGATCAGCCCTTATCAATATGTTTTATTATTTTCTTCATACATTCTGCTGCAGGTGAATCTGTGGCTGTTACAAACATCAAGATTTTATTTTCCTCAACTTTGTCTCAATATAACTATCTTTAAATATCTGAAGCTTTTTTTATTTCTTTACATTTGCATTTTGCTGCTTTAATGTTAAATTTTTGCCATGAAAAGATGAGATGCAGGTCGAATAGGAGTAAAAAAATCTGATTATCTTCACTTCAGGTTGCAGTGATATTTCTCAGACTGTGCAGGAAAATGAAACGTTTTGGCTCATTTGCTGTATTGTCTTTAAAATCACTTTCAGTTTTAACTAATAAATCATCTGAACTGTAAATCATTTAAAATGAAGGTGAGCGTTTCCTTTTCTCTCAGCACCGTCCTGGACAAGCGAGGAGACGTTGGCGTCCACAGGAAGGTGATCGACAACGTCCAGACTCCTCTGGGGATCGCCGTCGACTGGGTCTACAAGAACCTGTACTGGTCCGATCTGGGAACCAAAACCATTTCTGTGGCAAACTTCAACGGAACCAAACGGAAAGTTCTGTTCAACACGGGCCTGAAAGAACCCGCCTCCATCGCTGTGGATCCTTTGTCTGGGTGGGTGGAAACGGTTTGGGTTTTTCCTCTGGCAGAACTCTGATCTGCTGACCGGACCTTTTCTGTACTGGTCTCAGGTTTCTGTACTGGTCTGACTGGGGAGAGCCGGCCAAGATCGAGAAGTCTGGTATGAACGGAGCGGACCGGCAGGTTCTGGTGGCGACTGACATCCAGTGGCCAAACGGGATCACACTGGGTAGGAATGGAGGCAAAACGCCTCCAAAATAAAAGCCTTCAGCTGAAGTTATAAAAATCTGTTTTATGGTGGAATGTTTAGATCTGAAGCTGCAGAAATGAAACTGTTTTTGATCTTTTTGTGTCTTCAGATCTGATCAAAGGCCGGCTGTATTGGGTCGACTCCAAGCTGCACATGCTCAGTAGCGTCGATCTGAACGGAGACAACAGGAACAAAGTGCTGCAGTCTGCAGACTTCCTGGCTCATCCATTCGCTCTCACCGTGTTCGAGGTTCGTTTGGCCTTCAGCTTTCGTTCATTTAGACTTACTGAAGAAATGCTGCTGCATTTTAGTAAAGTTTATTTGTTTAGCACATTTCAGCAAATTCAAAATGCTCCATATCATAAAACATAACAGTAAAATACAAAGTTTTAAGCAATAAAAGGTTTAAAGGATTATTTCTAATGGTACAAAAAGGCTTTAGTCAAATGAAAACCTGTAAAAATATATATATATATTACCATTGATCAGAATAATTGCTTACTGAAATAATCAGTTGCAGCTCTGTATGAAAGTCGGCCATGTTTGGTTCTGTTGGCAGGATCGGGTTTTCTGGACGGACGGTGAAAACAAAGCCGTCTTCGGCGCCAATAAGTTCTCTGGTTCTGATGTCGTCACGCTCGCCAGCAACCTGAACGACCCTCAGGACGTCATCGTCTACCATGAGCTGATCCAGCTGGCTGGTGAGGGGTCAAAGGTCACCCAGTTTAACCCAGAACTGGTGTGAAACAAGTTCTCCAGCTTGATTTGGGCTTCAGTTACACTCAGTGATTTATTCATGTTTTGTTTTTCTGCAGGTACCAACTGGTGCACAGAGAAAAGTGAAAATGGCGGCTGCAGCTTCTTGTGTCTTCCTGCTCCACAGATCAACAAACATTCCCCCAAGTACAGCTGCGTGTGTCCTGCAGGCCAGGAGCTGGCAGCAGACGGCCAGCGCTGCAGACCCGGTGAGCTCTGCACAGAAATGCAAACACTGATTCTGCTGCTGCAGCTTTTCAACATCAACCTCTTTCCACTGCTGAAGTCTTTTTTGTTTTCAATATAGTAAGAACCACTCGCCTGTTTTTAAGGCTTCTAGAGGAGAAAAGAAAGCGGCGTCTTGAAATTTAAGTTGTGGGTAAATGTCTGCAGTGGTCCAGTTTGCAGCGGCTCCAGGATTGTTTGCAACAATTAGCGGTTGCAGGAGTGAAGGCAGAGCAGCGGCGCTGGCCTTTCCCTCCTGCTGGACGACCGGTTGCTTAGAGACTCGCTTTGTTTTTCCCTGCGGCTTCGCTCCTTTCACAGATTAGCCTTTTCAAACCCAACAGAAACCTGACAGCTGAATCCGCAGCACTAATTGGACTCTGGTTCCAGCCGGGACTCGCGGATCGCTGGACCGTCTTCATGACGGCGCTCAGAACAAACTGCAGGAAACGCTGAGAATCTGTGGAGGATTAAGAGTTTTAACTGAGTATAAAACATGCTGAGGTTGTCGGTTCAAAAAACCCAACAGAACGGGGGGAATCAATATCTTTCAGACATCGAACCTTAAAAACTAAATTTTATCACTCAGCTCGACTGCATCCTTGATCTTCTGAGTTTGCTTCCATTTTTCCTCTAGTTTCTGGTTGTTCCACATTTCGTTGAAGTATTTACCCTAAACTTGGTCAATTTTAGTTCTTTATATTGGGAAGCTTATTTAAATCCCATTTGGAGGCTGAACCTCTGTTGGTTGCAGTGAAAATGGGTGCCTGTCCCTTTAAGACTAATTCCTGCCCGTCCAGCCCATTTTCCAGCTGGGCCGACCGGGAACTGTAGAGCTTTGTGAGGCTGCTGCTCCGGCCGACTCTAATCCAGTTAGAAACACAAAGTGAACAGAAGCTCAACTCACAGCGACAAACGACTGTTTTTATTGTTCACGCCGTTACAGATCAGTGGAGGTTTTTCCTTCAGTAGGAGCTGAAATCATAGATGTTTCAGTTTTTCATTGCTTACAATGAGAAACTTGAAATCCCATAATGCTTTGAGTGGGCAGGTTTGTTTACATTTCATGAAGAGAGTTTTTTATTTTCCTCTTCACAGAATGACTGATCAGAACCGAGAAACTCAAAGCTCATCAGAAATGTCAGCAGCTTCTTGATATTTGTGATAATTCACAGGAATATGATCATTACTGACTGTTTTCAGAGCCTGATAATATGCTATATGTGGGATAATGTAACAAAATGGACCCTGCAATTTGTTCTACATTAGGAATCCAGATTTGGCTGCAGAACTCAAATAGAAGTTTATGCACACAGTGTGACGACGCCTCTGATCATTGTGCAATAAGACCAAAGGCTCCAGTATAGTCAATAAATTACTATAAATAACCTTCATCACAAAAAGTGACATCAGATTTTAGTTTTATTTTGTCTTTGGCAAAAGACCACAAGCCATTTCTCCTGTTAGCACTAAACTAGCTAGCATTTGTTTCACTGTATTTACCCAGAATGCCCTACGCTGTAGTTCACTTCCTGCTTTAGGAACAATCTGTGGTTCGTTCATATGCATTCAAACTGCACCAGCCTTCACTTCAACCAAACAGGCCGATGTTTGTAGGTGGACCAGAGTTCAGTTCCACATTCACACCTCCCCACATGAACTGGCCTTTCCAGGCAAAAGGACCAGACTTCCCAGTGTGAGTCGTTTATTACAGGATGGTGAAACCATTCATGCAGATTGCAGCGACTCTCCCATCCTCTTGATTTGCATCAGATAAACCAGTTTACTCTCCAGAGATCTGGTCTACATTCAAAGAGAACTCAGAAATGGGACGACCTTGAATGCTTAAGGTTTGTTGTTGCTCTTCTAGTGACAGACTCTTCCTGTGAGGACGGTAGTGAAGCTGTAACGCACCCTAAAGGTAAAACCTAACGCCGTCATCTCAGCATGCTGGGCTCTCAAATCAAGTAGCTTCGTTTTTCTCCTCCTGGCAAAGATTTTTCTGAATTAACCTTCTCTTCTGCTTTAACTGAAACTTCTGCTGCTTTGGTCCTGATCTGAATCTAAGAGCTAAAATTAACCTGTAATTCCTCAAATCTTCTAATCCAGCTGAGATTATAAATGTTCAGTTGGATCATTTCAAACTGGAAACTCTTGGAAGAACTTAAATTCCCTGTTTTATTTTTTACTGAAGTAATTTTGATCTTAATCAGAAACATGAGGAATCCCTGTGACTTGTTGCTAAATGCTGAACAATCCATGTGACATTCGGTCATCACCTCTCTGCTGCTGGAAGAGTTTAAAGCTCTGACAAATTAATCTAGTACAGGAGCGCCATCTAGTGGTAGAAAATGGGAAGTACACATGCAATATTTGGCTCAAACAAAACCTACATTCTTGCCTGACTGTAGTTTACAAACCTCAACCTGCTGGAAGATTTTTAGTTTTGCTATTTGAACCTTTTTTTACCCCCCTATTCTGCATTTGTAAAGATTAATGCAGGAATTCGCTGAAGCTCGTTTTGATTGAGAGCTTTAGATTTACACCAAGCTGATATTTGGCAAATATTTTCTGCTTCAGAAAATGAGCCTTTATAAAAACCCTCCAAATGAAACATCCCAGCAGGTTTTACTGCTGTTTGCACTGTACAATGGCTGCTGGAAAGACAACCGTAATCTAGAAACCATTTGCTGCTCGTTTCTGCAGGAGACTCCACTTCTACTTTTCAAAGCTATACAATTGTACAGTTGTGAATCTGTTTAGATTTTATTTTGGAATTGATGACAAGAAGTCTTAAAACGGCTCACTGAACTAAGCAGACTTGAACATTATCTAAGATTGAGTTTTGCAGGTTTTGTGTAGACCATGACCCTATCCTAAACTCTTTAAGGTTTATGGAAGTTACTGATTTTGTCGGCTCTTCCAGAAGCCAATGTGAGCACATCTATCCAGGTGGACTCCACAGCCAGAGGCTCTGCTGCTGCCTGGGCCATCCTACCTGTCTGTAAGTGCCTCTGCCTCCTCCTCTAAGGTCAAACATGAGGTCAAATCTGTTTTTCCCAGCAGCCTGTGTCTCTGCTGCAGTGCTGCTGGCCATGGCCGGAGCGGGCGCCTACCTGATGTGGAGGAACTGGCAGCTGAAGAACCAGAAGAGCATGAACTTTGACAACCCAGTCTACCTGAAAACCACAGAAGAAGACCTCAACATCGACATCACCCGCCACGGCGCCAACGTGGGCCACACCTACCAGCGGTGAGTTTAATTTTTAATCTGAGATATTTGGAAATCTTCAAGTCAATATTTTGTGATGTGGTTGAAAATGCTGCCATTTCCTCTCAGTTACATAAAATCCCATCTTTTCCTTCCTCTGTTTCTGTTGACAGATTTCCATAGTGAGCACAGACGATTTTATCCTGATCGTTCTCAGGATTTGGTTTTTTATTTCTTCTCCTTGCGGAAACCTCCTCCGTGTTACGATGCCAACGGTTCGCCGTAACGGCGGACCTTACAGTTCAACCACATGCCTTCAGAAGTGCATTAAGTCCTGATCTGTGGTGAAGAGGAAATGTTATTTATTATGTGAATACTTCCATGAGTTTTCCACATTCACTCCACAGTGTTTGAGGAATTTTTATTCTTGCTTTTCCGGCGTCGTCTTTGCCGTCTGTTCAGAGAACAGTTTTGTCTTTGAGGGTCTTTCATGTCCAGCCTGGACTGAACCTCTGAAGAACCAGGCGTCTTCATCAACCCGTTTCCTGGTTCCGATTCAAACCGGTCAAAGTTCTCAGGTCTCAACGGGGAACAAGTCTGGAGACTAAAAGTATTTAATTATGAAACAGATTGTTAATATTTCTGATCATGCTTTGCTGACATTAAGGTTTCTTCTGTTAATTGCATTATTATTATTGCTGCTGCTGAGATCACCATGGTTGCAGCGTTTGTAAACAGTGTAAATATATTTCCTCCCTCAGAGACGTGACTGTAAATCAGGACTCTCTTCAATGCACTTTGATCAATGTTCTCTGTAAATAAGATTGTAAACACTGACTTGAATCTTTTTGCTATGGCTGGTTCCTCACCAGAGTTCAGATGTATTTAAGGAGAGCAGAGGAGGAAAACATGAATTGGTAAAAATGACTATTTTGTATGTTTGTGCTGTTGCTGTGAACTTTTTATAGCCTTGTACAGTGAAGGAGAATGAAATGATGTGTATCTGAAGGAACTGATTCACAAAGAATTTTGAATTAAACATCAGTGTTAAAAAATCCCTTTGAATGTTTTTAATTTGAGTGAAATGGGTCAAATATACAAGTTGCATCATGAGGGCTTTCTGGTTTACTTCCTTACCAGATCTACTTATGATTCTGAAAATATTATGTCAAATTTACATTTCCAGGTCTAAAGTAAAACTAAATATTTTTATGTTTGGAAGGAAAATTCTTGTCCCATCCGTCCGCCAGTTGGAGTTGATGTCTGATCTGCAAAGCAATTTATACCATTTCTAATGGTACAGATTGAAAAGAATTTCTCTGCATTTGTTCTCTTGGCCATTTGCATCATCCTGCAATGAAATCCATACATTTAAGGTTTCCACATAATTCAGGTTCCTTACTGGGACAGCTACATTAAATTATCACTTTGCAGTTCTAAACATATCTACAGTTTAATGGCAGATCTGTGAGGGCTAAAGGATTCCAAGCATGCAGGGTGATATCTGTCAGCACTGCTTCAGATGTGGACAAAAAGCCACATTCCTTGTTCCTGCAGGTGGATGTAGTTTAAGGAAATGGGAAGGAGTTGCTGGTCAGCAGTAACCCAGTTTACCTCCCTCACCCCACATCCAGGATCTCCCACTCTAACATTGCTTTGGTGCAGACAAACCATGAATGTTCATATGAGCCTAACTCAATTTATCCCACAGTCTGTTACCTTCAGTTTCTGCTAAAATGAGCTAAACTGACTGAACTGTTCAGTCACATATTGATGACCCAGTGGAGCTTTATGGGAGACAGAATCAGGCAAGTTTAATAAATAACTGGATGAAGAAACACTCCTTCATAGTAACATCAGGATTATCATAGATTTTATTTATTCTAATCAAAGTCCAGCAAATAAAGTTCACTGAGAGCAATATAAGCAGCTAATATTTAATGTTTATTATTCCAGCCTCAGTTTTCTGATCTTCATGTGACTCCACTGAATCCAACTCTGATGTCGTTCACTTCACAAGTGATGAAGATCCATTTTTCTTTCACTTCCTGCTGATTTCTTTCCAAAGCTCCATTTTTTCCAGGAGGATCTTCAATGTTCTCTTTAGATGAAGGAATTCAGACTGACTCCACCCGGCTGGAGCTCCAGGTGAGCAGAAACAAAAAATCCTAAAGTCATTCATGTCCTGATAAATGAAACCTTAGAACTGGTTCTGGTTCTGATCACTTTTTACTATTGCGGTCATCCAGCTCTGAAAAATAAAAACATGGAGGCCACTGAGAACCTCACTGACAACCTGGTTATTCACCAAATGATTTCTGAACTTCTGAGTTAAAATATCAGTATTTTTTCTAAATTAACTTGTTTTCTTTAGATTATTTGTGGTTTAAAAACGCTTCAACTTTATTATTATTTTCACCATTTCTCATTTCTGCAAATACATTTTTGCTTGGAATGTCAGACATGTTGTCAATACTTCATAGAAAAAGAGAACATTGTTCATTTTACTCAAATATAAGCCTATGAAAAAATAAGATCACAGAAACTGATCATTTTAAGTGGTCTCTTAATTTTTGGATTACAGCTCTGTAATCCAAAACAGAGCTTTTGGATATTAACGTCATGACATTAATATCATAATGTGTAAAAACACGTCATGATATTAATAACCAGACAACGCAGGTAATAGTTTTACCACTAGGGGGAGACAAGCCCCCATTAATGAAGAGTTCAGTTGGTTCCAAGTTAAAAAAGGTTCTGGTTCAATTGGTGTTGAACAGAACCTGGATCAGCAGAATAACAGCAGATCCATATTTATGAGAAGTGATCCTGTCTTAACACGTCAACAGAGAAACTTTCCTCTGACTCCCAGTCAGTCTGACCAGTCAGACCAGTCTGACCAGTCTGGGCTCTTTTCTCCTCTAACACTTTCAGTTTAAACTAACCTGTTTATTTGTGGCACCAGTCTGGATCTACCGTGATTCTGTTGGGTCTCAGCTTGTTGTTCAGATTTTCTTCATCAACTCTTTGGATCATTTGAACAAACTGTAAGTTTGCTTTGTTTCCTACTTGAACTTTGATGTTTGGAGAAAATGTTCACTTCTGATTTCAGCTAAAAAACAAAAATCTCTGCCGTTTGAAGTTCTCTGCTGGACATCTAGTTTTCTTTATTTTCTTCTCTGAACAAACTGATTCTTGGTTTTATTTCCTGGAATCAAACTCTGGTCTCCAGCATTAAAGTCAGAAAAACAATTTCTCAGTCAGATTATGAAATAGTTAATCTTTGAAGGAGCAGAAAACACTTCCTGTTGCTCAGGTTGAATCAGTGAATGTAAATGTTGCTCCATGTCTCCATCTAGTGGACTGATAGTAGAAGAGCAGCTGATGGCAGCTTCCTCTGCCTCTCTGCTGTCTGACTGCATTCACCTGACACTGATATGAAGCAGAAGAAGAGCCAATCAGAGGAGGAGCAGCTGATCTTTTTCCAGCACTAATGATGTAAAGGATGATCAGAGTTGATGTGCAGATGAATGATGTGTGTTTCCTCTGCAGGTGAAGCTAGAAAGTGTGTGTGAGCTGATGTGGATTCAGCAGCATGGATCAGTGTGAGGACAGAGAGGAGGGAGTCCCTCCCTCTAAAACCACTCTGTGTGGGGAAGATGAGAGCCAGAGCAAAGGTCAGAGGTGAGGTCACCATCTCTAACTGTCCACAGCCCTTTTCACACAGCGTTCACTATATCAGGCCAGAACAGACGTGGTGATGAAGCTGCTGCTGCTCCTCTTTGCTGATTAAGTTTTAATCATCATGTTTCTGTCAGGATCCATCAGAGACTCAAAACAGAACCAGAACCAGAACCCAGCTGTGTGTCCTTTAAGAGCGACATGTCAAATGATCATATCCTTGACTTTAAATCTCCTGGATCTCCACCATCAGAGAGGTGAGATGTATCTAATTGCTGTAACTCTGGAAACTGAACCAGTAAGAACTCAGATGTTTCCAGTTATATTTCCAGAGGTTTTGATCCATTATCTACAGAAATCAGCTGCTCTGTTCTCATGAAAACACCTTCATATCTTTATCTCTGGATGTTGATGATGATGTTCTGTTGCTTCCTGGCTCCATGTCAGACTAACAGTGGATCACATTTCCACTGGGAAATACCTGGTAAAGCCATTCTGGTCCATCAGGACTTGGTTCCTGTGTGCATTGTGAGAGCAGTTCAGCAGGGAAGGAAAGCTTCATGATGTGGTTGGTGAGATCTGCTGGAACTCAACCAAACTGAGCTGATGTGGACCATCAGAGGTTCTGCTGGTTCTTAATGGGATCAGCAGGAACATTAAATCTTTACAACTACTTAGATCACCTGGTTCACTGCTCACATCCAGATATCACTTCATGGAGCTTCAGATTGTCTCAGTGTGGACAGATACAATGTGAGCTCACTGGCTTCCAGGGATCTACAGGATCTGTTTTTAAAAATCAATTTAAAATACCCACTACACCATCCAGGAGGTCTGAAATACGGGGGTTTGTATATGTACAAATCCCCGTATTTCAGACATCATCCATCAGAACCTGATGGATGTGTGGAAAGAGCCTTTATTTCCACTGTCCCCAAGTTCAGGGAAACTGAGGTCCAAGTTCAGCACCAACCTTTTAAAATGTGTTTATATCCTGACATTCTCACTGGACAAAAACAAGAACACAGGGAGACAGTTAAATTTTCTTATGCAATCTTGGAATTGAATGGAGAACCAGCATAGGGACATCTGCTATCTCGGTCTCCAGGAAA